ACTAACTGAGTTCTTTACATACTTCGAATTCCGTGATAAATCGAAGGACTCGAGTAAATCCAGTGGTGGAGCTCTGGATTTTGGAGCTGGCGTGCCGGGTTCGAATTCGCGCGATACAACAGAATATTCTCCAAATTTTAAGCTGTGGGAAGGTTATGAGAGTAACAATCAGTCCCCTAGCGTTGGTAATTTGCGGTAGAGTTCTGCTGATTGGCTGCCTTCCATTAGGTCAGTAGTTAAAAATAAGGGAAGACAGTAAATAGGTTTAGTAGGTTTCCCGTAAATACAAGTAGGAAACTGAGAAAAAGAAAGTTTGAGATAAAACATACTTTAACTGATGCGTAATATTATGTGAATTTAAGTCCCCTGATGTAACGGCGGTAAGTTTAAGGACTTAAAACACTAAAATCCCGGCTTCGATTCCACGCGGTAGACACAGCAGATAGCCTAATGTGGCTAAAACAAACAAACGTGAATTTAAGCCCATGTTTACGTCTGGATTTCATGTCCCTATTTATGATAATTTATGCTTTATATTACAGGGAGGTGATGAACATGATCATGTTTTTATATCAACTGAATTTGTGTCATAATAAGATGTTTCATGGGACTCGATGATGTGATGCTCAAGATCATGATTATATGACATTAAAGTGATATTTGTGTCAGCACAATGATTTACAAAGATTTCGGCACACGATACGATCATGATGTTGTGATTTGAAACTGTTACATAAGTAAATCCTATTTACACTCAGTGGAACTCATTATAGGTTCATTCGTTTTTGTTTGTTTGTTTTTTTTTGGGGGGGGGGAGGATTCCACTGAATGCAGTATATATCTCTTCTTTTTCTTCTGAAACCAGGATTGAAATCCGTTTTGTTGTTTCTTTGGCATTTCAATTTGAACAGTGCTTCAGATTATATGCTCTTTGTTCTAGGTATTTTCATATTTTTGCTGTGATAATTGTTTATTGAATTTCGCGCAAAGCCACACGAGGCTTATCAGCGCTGGGTGTCCCTAATTTTAAAAAGAGAATGCGGTTAGTCAACACAACCTACCGCCAACTTTTGAGCTACTCTTCTCAGATCGAATAACGGAATTTGACTGTCACACTTATAGCACACTCACGACTCCAAAGTGCTTAGCGTGATTTTTTTTTTTTTGCGATTAAAGGATACGAACCACGAAATATCAGATCTATAACTACTGGACAGCGCTTTATCCTTTCGCTGTGGTAAAAGGGTAGCATTATCCCTAGCACTCATCAGAACAAATTATCAGTTCTTTTTTTATTTCCAAATAGAGTACCACATTGTTTTTCTTTTATAGTTTTGTATTGTACTTCGTTATTATAATTAATTT